TGCTCAACCTGTGAGGATACAGTGAGTGAAGCAGCAAAAGGCATCCTTGGCTGTGATTTCAGACAAGAATCATACTCATACAAATGACCATAGAAATACTCTGAGATTAGAGTTATGGATGAAAGAATGTTCTATGAAGACACAAAACATCAAAGGAAGGAAGAAGAGGTTTTTAAAAGAAATTTCAATGAAAAAGTCATACTGCAAGTGAGTAAAAAGGGATGGGGGGTGGGGAAGCATCAAGGAAGTAAATCAGTATTTCTCAAGCTCTTTTGTTTAAAAACTTCAAAACTTGGGGAGGTATATTCTTCCTTGTCTTCCCCACTGCACTATAGACCTGCACAGTTCATAAAGGGAGCTCCAGCTCTCTTCTAGCTTCCTAAAGAGCTGGTAACTGAGCAAAAGGTAACTGAAGTGGGTGTAGACCCATGTATACTGTCTCCTGTATCACCTGCGGGAATACATGTCCACTGCATGGGCGGCAGGAGGAGGGGGGACATGGAACTGCAAAGGTAATTCGCATACAGAAATAATTGCCAGTATTCTTATTACCTTGATTGGGAGGCTCCTATAAGAGGCAAAGCCAACCCTAACCTTAGGAATGAATGGCCTAGTAGAGAAAATTTAGAGGTGCAAAAGCTAATTAATAATAATAAACCAAAGGTGACACAGACTAAGTTAGAAAAACCCAAGTGGAGTATTTAAGAAATAGATAAATATCATAAAAAATGAGCTCACTTATCACAGATTGCAATGATCAATGTATCACACACACACATCAGGAGGACAAACAAAAGAAATGTAGGTAAAGGGAGACAACGGACAGTGTAAGATATGAAAAAAAAATTTATAATTTAGCAAGGGTTCAAGAAGGTACAAGGGAACAAAAAAACAGGAGCTGATACCAAGAGCTCAAATAAAGAAAACGCTTTGAACAGGAAGATGGTAACATATGTACAAAATGTGTTTGATACAATTAATATGTGGATTAGTATAAGAGCTGTAAGAGCTCCCAATAAAATGATTTATTTAAAAAAAAGTCCTCCCTAGGTGTCTCATTGACACTTCCTTCCTCTGATCTCCCAATCTTGCTCCAAAGAGTTTGACAAAATTTTGTAAAAGTCCCAGTTCTCCAGGGAAAGGAGGAAGATAAAAACGAATACTCGTAGCATGTTAACCAGGAGCAGTTATTTATCTGAGAAATTAATAATTAAACCAGTTAATCTACCCTGATCCTTTGCCTGCCCTCTTTTACCTGGCCCTGTCTTCACTCAGCCTGGATGGCACAAGAATGCTATTGGGTGCAGGGTACAAGCTTCTCCTTTCAAATGGCTCAGATAACACAGGTCTTTTGTGTTATCTGTGTATGTGTTCTCAAGAACATAGCAACCTGCGTGCTCATTTGGCACTAGAACCTCATATGGTAAGCTACACCTGGGGCATGGAGGGTAGCAGGAAGATATCAAACATGGAAGGCCTGACTGTCCTGCGAGTTGCCAGCTTAGGAAAAACTTCATCATATAGTCCAGTTGACATAAACATGCTGGCCTATTTTGAAATCTCTGCTCCTTTGAAAATTCTGACTCATGGTGGAATTTCCCTCTAACATTTGCTTTGGTTAAATGCTAAAGAGTATAGCCAGATACATCAGA